CCCCCCCCCCCCCCCCCCCCCCGTAACTCCTGCTCCAGCCTTTCTTTCTCTCTGGCGTTGCCTCTGACATCACTTCCTGTGTGTGATCACAGCTGATGCTGCCATGATCTGCAACCCCAAATTCTCCCCTCTCCAATCCTTCTACCTGTGTCTGTAAATAAAAAAGTTAAAAAAAGACATATTAATAAAAGGAATACAAGAACAAAAGCAATCCAAGTGCATCAATGCAGCTTCTTACCTCAAATATAGTTTTTGTAAAAGCTGAAATGCCGGCCCAAACAAATACCAAGCCCATTTCGTACTGGTGGTTTATTGATATTCTCATGCTGCTTATTAGATGAAGTTGTGTTGTTTTTAAGGAATAACCAGTGGGAGACTTTTTCCTTTGTAGCTGTCTGTAATACACACCCATATTTTTTAGTTTATTTATGAGAAAGATTTTGCGTCTTTCACATGTACGGGGAAATTGCCTGTACCTGAAAGGCACTGGCTTGATTTGCCTCGCTGTTTTCTGTTCTTCCTCTGTGGCACCGGGTGGTCTCCTCTGACCCAGAATGTTCCGTGAAAGTGAACTGCAGTAATGGGGCAACAAGGAGATGCTGAAATCGAATTTGCTGTTAACAGTCAGCTGCTCCAAATGCAATTAAAGTTGTTCCAGACGGTTGTTGGTCCTAAATTCTTCTTCTTTTGTGTGTGTGTGTGTTTTTTTGTTCTGCTTCTCACTGGACTTGTGTTTTCTGAGCCTGACTGTATGAGAGGTGCCACACTGTGCTCATTCTTCCCAGTTTTGTGTAGTTTTAACGGTATCTCTCACTAAGGCATCAATTTATCTATTGTCTCCGCAACTTCCAGCCCTCAACCACTATCCAGTTCCCCTACTACCCATCATTTCAAGCACACTAGAAGGATTTTTTTTTCTTTTTTCTTAAAAAAGAATTTTGATAGAAAGCCAAAAAAGCTGTGCTGCCCCCCTCCCCTGGCTCTCCCCAATCCTTTCGGATCCAGCAGCAAGACTCGTAGACTTACTACAGGGATTTCCACCTAATTGGCCTTGCGAGTGGAAGAAACGTCTCGTGGAAAAAATGTTTTTTCCCGGCTCTTCTCGCCGGTCTTGGAGCTCCAGCTCCCACGCCGGCCAGCAGGCCGCCTCCTCGGTTTCCCTCCGGTGAAACGGCTCTCTGTCTCTCCTCCTCAGCATTCAGCGGGCAGCTCTGGCCATCATCGAGCACTACTACTGCGACTTCCCCATCCATAACCCCGCGCTGCTCTCGGCCTCCAAGTCCCGGGCCGCCAAGCACCTGGCCGGCCTGAAGGTCTACAACGTGGATGGTGAGTTCCCAGCAGCCCCCGCTGAGGGTGAGTGGGATGCTCTGCCTTGCCTTTGGTTGTTCTGTTTTTCT